TCGTTTGTTGGCTGTAAGGATCAACAGTACATGTACCTAGCTTCGCATGCATCTTTCAAGCAAATAGTACAGCCAGCTGTTGGCTGTAAGCATCAACAGTACTAGTACTTAGCTTCGCAATCAGAGCATCTTTCAAGCAATTGACGCATATCTCTAATGATTCGGGGTCATTTTGAATGGGCTGGACAGCACCTGTACATGCTTCATTTCGCGTCCAGGCCTTCTAGTAGAAGCAGATATTCAACATCCTCTGACTGTTCAGTTTATTTGGCTGCACCAGAGTGCACCACAATCTACGTGTACTTGAGTTTGTTTTGTTAATCCCTCAGGGATTATAGAGAATTGAGGAGTTTTGATGCACTCATATCTAACTCAATCAGCATCTATTGCGGTGAGAAATTAACTAATTTACACATCAATCCACTGCAACCCACATGGCTTGTTTGGATGCCCATATATTTACCTCATGTGCTGAGGTGGACTGGGGTGGAAACTACACTAATTTTCACTCCAATCCACCTCAACACATGTGGATTGATATGAATACATGGACATCCAAACAGGACCTGAATTGATGTGAATACGAGTGTATCCAAACAAGTCATGATGAGGATATTATCCCTACAGTCAAAATCTCCCTCAATCCTCTCTAATCCCCTTAGATTATGAATTAACCAAAGAAGCCCGTATTAAGGCGGATTTAGCAAAAAATAATTAATTTCAATCTCTAATTCACTCTAGCACACGTGGATTGAGATGAAGATATGTGTAGCCAAATAACAAGCCCTTAGTGGTTTAATAGGAGCGTTGAAGTACCGAGCTAAGAGATTTCTTTGATCAAGGGTGAATCTATCCGGAATTGAAACGATGTCAGCCCATAGGTGATTCACCAATGGATTTGTACCTTATGAGCTTGTTATACTACAAAATAATCATAAATTTCCTTCATAATACAATGCCATTTAATACTTGGCCCCTCCTCTATTTTAGCTCAAGCTCCGCCACTGATCAAGCTTGAAAAGAACTTATGGATGAACAAAATTTTTATATATAATTTCATCAGGATTGGCCGAGACAACAAAAGGAGGTTATCATTGGCAACAATGGATCGAGTGCCAATACAATGGTTTTAATCTACTAATATCTCTATTCCAAACTATAAGCTAAGTCGTTTTGGCTTTTCTAGTTTTTTACTATATATCTAAACACAATATAGATCTAGATATGTCACAAAAGATATGTACCTAGAAAAACAAAAATGACTTACGATTTAAAATGAAGGGAGTACAAACTGTGGTAAGTTTAGTTGGTCAATAAGTTGCTTGTAGTACTACAAAAAAAACTCCTCTATTATTAATTTGACAAGAAATTTCTATAAAATGTATTAACAAAAAGGTACATAGTACAGAGCATTTTTAATTATGAAACCGGTATGTCAAGGGTACCTTTCTTTAAGTGGAAGGCTAATAATGTAGCTCCTGTTGTTCGTATGTCCATTACATAGAAGCCCACTCATACAGTAGTTGGATTATTTATGACCTACTTTCTTTTTTCATAAAGTTTCTTAGTTCTTGTGTCTCAATTGCCGATATAAACTTATAGCCTATTTTCCTTGTCTCTCCTCCACCTCAAAACTTATTAACAATCATTTATTATACTTGCTCTAATCATCTAGACGGTTTAGATTTGGATAAGGGGTATTAATTTTTTATTTACATAATGAGGTATTCATTTTTTATTGCTCAGCAAGTACTATTAGGCTATTTAATTTCATGCTGCATATATATAGGATGCGCGATTGTGCACGCACGGATCCATGGACAAAGAGCAAGGTTAATAATACATCGTTTGTTGGCTGTAAGGATCAACAGTACCTGTACCTAGCTTCGCAAGCATCTTTCAAGCAAATAGTACAGCCAGCTGTTGGCTGTAAGCATCAACAGTACTAGTACTTAGCTTCGCAATCAGAGCATCTTTCAAGCACGTGACGCATATCTCTAATAATCGGACCAGTGAAAAAAAAAAATACTAGTGCCTTATGACTTGTCTCTCCATTATTGCAGCTTTCATGCTCGTGTCACACACGTAACTACCAACCTCTGTTCTGTGCACGCATTACTTCTTCCGCAAAATTGGCAAGCACTACTTTCTCTAATAACATAAAGTTTCGGCAGAAATGTTATGGCTGTCCTGTGTCGCCCCCACAGAGATCATGTCCATAGATTATTGTCTTGACTTCTCTTCGTAATTGCACACCAGCTACCTGGCTCACCAGCGAGACCTGATTGTACAGGAAAAGTCAAAAGAAGTTATCTTCCTGAGAAGATAAGAAAAAACTGCATCAGCAGACTGCTCCCGTTTCTAAGACGCAGGCATGGAAATCCGCTCACACAACCAGCCACAACCAAGCATGATGCCGTGGCGGTGCATGTACATACATCATACATCAGATTCAGTCACGCCATAACTCTTCGAAGCCTCGACGCCCCTGTCGTCGCCGGAGCCGGCCTGACTAATCCATTTCAGTGAGCAACCAACGGCCTAGCTTGGCAGGGCTTTGGCTTCTCTAGAACAGCTCTACCTCCGGCTCCGCCTCTTCGGTGGTGCAGGAGCCAACGGTTGGCCAGGGCCAGAACTGGACTGGTCATCGTCGTGGCCCGCCGAGCGCGAGCTCTCATCGCCCCACCTGGCGCCGTCATCCAGACAGTCATCGCTCCCCAACCATCGCTCCAGGGCCTCGCTGGACACGAAGTCCAGCTCCGGGTTCTGGCCGGCTGTGGAGGAGGAGGCTGGCGAGGGAGAGCTGTAGGAGGCGGTGGGTCACATAATCTCATCCATTTTGTTGTGCTGTTCTAAGAGCATCTCAGAGAGAGTACCTAATATATTTTTTTCCAAAAACATAGAATTTTACAACTCCTAAAAAATATTTAAAGAAATAAATAAGGTCAGTTTCTAATAATCCACTCCTATGGAAAGAGCGCAACCGCCGTACCTTCGATAAGGACCGTTATTACCCAGCTCTACCACCTCATCTTGGAAGAAAAGTGCCTGGGTCAGTGCTGGGTTCCCAGGCCTCTCGTCGCTGCTCGTGCTCCAGCAGTCCTAAACCGCTTGGCTACTACCGGCTTCAGTCGCACAAACCTCTCCTTAGTTAGAACACCAGTGTCAGTTCCACCGTTTCATCCGGTGCTTTGTGTTTGTGTGTTTACCCCTTTACTGTTTCGCACCTCGCTATCCGGTGATGAGGGCGTGTATCAAATTTTCTAATTTCTACTTAACGAAACACGTGTTAAGCACGTTCTAAAAAAAATCCACTCCTAAAATATAGAATATAATTTTACATTATGAATTCTATACTATTTCTAAATTATCCTAACCACTTTTATATATTCTTTCTCTCTTATACATTTGCATCGTGAACCATTTCCTACTCTTTATTCTTTTCACGCTCTTCCACCTTTATATTACCGACAAACATGTGCGGGGAGAGAAAATACGCGCGACTCGGAAGCGCGTAACTTTACGCGGAACAGGGTGACTTTTCCCAAGTTCTAAAAGATTAGGAGGGTGGATTAGGAGTTATTGGAGAGGGATTTTTTCCCTTCTTGCTAAAAATCAAGGATTAGAAAGGGATTTAGGGAACTCTTAGAAATGCTCTAAGGGCATGTTTGGATCCACCAGCTGCTAATAGGTCACTGCTATTATTAGTTGCTAATATTAGCTATTTTAATTCAACTAGTGTGGTAGTTGTTAGTTGAGTATTCGGCTAACAATTAGCAAAACTATTAGCTAAATCTGTTTGGATAAAAAAAAAACTTTATAGTCATGTCCGGCATCTTTTTTTCTTTCTACTCCTCCCATCCTACAAAATTAACTATTCTATTTATCCTAAAATATAACCAGTTTTATGTTATCCTACTATAAGTCACTTGATCAAATTGTAAAAAAAATATTTGCAATATAAAATTGCGCACCATTAAATTTTTTATTAAATGTATTATCATGATTTACCTCTTTTATGTGTTCAGTTTACTTCGATTTTATTCTAAGTAAAACTATTTTAACTTTAACCAAGTTTTCTTAGAAAATAATACATTGATATTTATTCATGAGTTCAAATAAATAAACTATCCAAACATATTTTATGGTAGTTTAATAAAATTAATTTAATGACATAATAGTAGACATTGGTTCAATTTTCTATAATTTTGATCAAAGTTAGAGAGATTTGATTCGGATAAAACCAAAACAAGCTATAATTTAAAATGGAGAGAATACTCTTCTCTATAAATTAGACAAATTTAGGAAACTCTAGCATTCCAAAGTCGGATAGAGTAGTTTTAGACTTTCTTGTATAGGTTACGTAGGATTAATGAAGATCTAATGAATTTGCGACATGTTGTGCTGTAAGTATAATGCTAGTGTCGGTACGACAACGGTGCCGCCCCAATTTAATTTGCGTGTCACACACACGCGAGGCAAACGAGTGTGACAGTGATGAAATTAAAGAAAACTTTTATCTCACATATTATCAAATTAATTTGTGACCATGGCTACTTTTGACTGTTCCCAGGTTGTGTAGGAGCTCAAAAACTCTAGGACGAGGTGACAGTCACGGTGTTGGAACTCGCAGTGACGGAGTTGCCGACGCTGACGGGAACAGGAGGGGGCGCGGCTCAAAATGGCAACGGGTACTTGAAACCCGAGTACCCGACGGGTTTTACCCGATAAGGAGGCGGGTATGGAAGATTTTTTGCACCCGCGGGTACGTTATTGGACGAATTCTTGTACCCATCGGGTATGCGGGTACGGGTGTGGGTGTATACTACCCATACCCGCATACCCGCGGGTAAAAAAAGCCGTATAAATAATATCCAACCTCTGCAATTTTAGCCTATATAAGCATATAGCCCATATTTGGCCCATATAAGCATATGAGTATATATATTCCAGAACTCCCTCAAATCCTAATACTCATCCTCACTCCACTCCACCAGCCGTCAGACGACCAGCGGCTGAATCGCGGCGTCGCGGGCTCGTGCGACCCCACGCGCGCCGTCCGCTCGCCGCCCCTCCGTGGCTCTGCCCTCTGCCGCTCCTCTCTCCTCTGCCGTTCTCTCCCCAATCCCCACCACGCCATCTCCGGTCTCCACTGCCCAGTCCCCACCAGCGCCCCCAACGAGCACAGCGCCGTCGCCGTCGCCATCTCCGGTAGCCATGGTGGAGAACTCTGGAATAGGACAAGATGATAGCCGGTGATGCTCTTCCTCAACCCTAAGTCCCTAACCTCGACATCTATTGTTGCAGTTGCAGTTGTTCTTCTTGATCCCGTTTGCCTTCTGAGTTCTGACCCCGCGCCGTCCCCGAAGGGACGCCGTCCTGCGACCGCCGGATCCAGAGGAGGCGACGAAGAACGGCGCATGTGCACCGCCTACCCTGACGCCTGCCCCGCTCGTCCTGCCACCTCCTGCACAAGCCACTGCACCGGTCGCTGCTGCTAAGCCAAAGCCAAAGGGCGTCCCTGTTGGTCCGGCGGCCAAGAAGGCGGCGGCCAAGAAGGGTGGTCGGCCTCCCCTGTCTCCAACGAGCATAGCTGCAGCTGCTCAGAAAGTGCAAAATCAGCACCTCAAACGCAGCCTTGGGTAAGCAAAGATGACTTTCTCTGCTCAGATATGTGCAAGATTGTGTATTGGTCTAGCAAAGATTGTGTAGTGGGCTGCTCACCGAGCCGGAGTCCAGCAACGAGCGCATCAGCACCAGGCGTGCTTGCATCGAGCTGCCCTTGTTCCTGGCCGTGCATGGCCTTGTTAGTTTCAGCTCGTTCGTCAGTTTTTCAGCAGGTTGGAGAGCAGCCCCTCCATTCTGATTCGTTTGCTTTTTCTACTTCTCTGAATGTTGGAGTGCAGTTCAGTTTCAGTCCAGTGTCCAGAAATGACAGCAGTTTGCTCTTTTCATTTGTTTGATCAGAAAGCTTGCATCTTCCATCCGTGAACTACTCTAGCAATCTTTGGCTACTGAATTAAGTATTTAAATTACTTCTTTTCACTAGTAGTAGTTCACGTGATTTGTTTTTCTCAAGCAAGTAGCTCTTTTGGTCATTCATAAATAAATATTCAGGTTTGGTCTATTTGTGATCTGCTAGCTTATTTTTTATGGAGCTAATTGCTCGATGTGCTTGTACTCGGGTATATTGTTGGGTGTGGGTTACCTGTCGGGTAAGAATTACCCGTCGGGTGCGGGTATGGAATGAATTTTCTACCCGCCTGCGGGTACGGGTAACCCGACGGGTAAGATTTTGATCTGGCGGGTGCGGGTATGGGTGGCCAGTACCCATCGAGTATGTACCCGTTGCCATTTTGAGGCGCGGCTTCTGGTGTCTGGTGACGGGCTGGTTCAAAGGAGCTGTGAGTTGGGCGTGGGGGGCTGTTGGGCTGGTCTGAAGACATGCTCCCTAGACATTTGGCCCGGGCACTTCTACAATATAGGGGGGGGGAGACTTTAGAATATAGGTGAGAAGATCAATGTCAGTACTCCCTCCATACTTAAAAAATGAAGTCGTTTTGGACAAGGCTTGGGTCAAACATTGGGAATATAAATCATTAATAACTTTTAAGTTGTTAGGTTTGGAAATGTGAAAACTATATGTATAGATTTGTCTTGAAAAATACTTTCACAAAAAATTACATATATCACTTTTTGATAAATATCTTTATAAAAATAAGTAGTCAAAGTTATGCATTGGAGACCGTGTCGCTGTCCAAAATGACTTCATTTTTTAGTATGGAGGGAGTACGAAATTACATTTATATCTCTATCAAAAGTACATCAATATGTAATTATTGCACTTTGAAAATAGGGAAATTAGTAGATTTATTAGGTGGTCTGTAAGCTAAACGTGCTTTTACTATGGGACAAATTTTGAACGTTAGAAGTGCATTTATCATTACCTCTTTTATGTGTTCTGAATTATAGTTCATTTTGGTTCTATCCTAAGTAAAACGTCCCTAACTTTAACCAAGCTTTTAGAAAAAAAAATATATAACATTTAAGAGGTTTAAAAAATACACCATCAAAACCTATTTTATAGATAATCTAATAAAACTAATTTAATGTTATATTTCTAGAAATTTGGTCAAAGTGAGAAAGCTTTGAGTTAATTAGAAAAAAAACAACTAAAATAAAACGAAGAGAATACTCTACTTTACAAATTGGTCAAAACTTCAGAACGGATGGAGTGGTTTTAGACTTTCTCGTATAGGTTAAGGAGGAGGATGGAAGATCTAATGAATTCGCCCTAGGATATTGAATAGGAAGTTGCATAGGAAATTGAAAAAATAATAATTGTATTCTAGGACGAAAAGGAGAAATTAATGATGCATGCTCAGAGATTTCGAGTGTCTCGCTCGGAGTACAGTACGGAGGGAAAGGGCCAAAGGCAATGAGAGCGCTAGATTAGAAAAGTCAGCAAGGCACTTGTTACGTGGCATCGGCTCGTGCGCAGCGGCTGTTTCTCTCGTGTGGAGTGGACGTGTGGTCCAATCCACGGATCACACAAAAAAGAAGAGAATAATGGACGGTGTTTCATTTTCAATCGTGATTTTGATTGGGCTTGACGGCTGCTGTATGTGCCTCATTTTCACGTACGGCCGGCCTTCTCTAGAAGAAAACATTCAACTTCGTCTGACAGGTTAAATTGCTAGGTTTAGTGGTTTAATATAAGAGATCGAGACCAGGGATGAATCTCTATCAGAGAATATAATGATTCGGGGTCACTTAGTGGATGAACCAACAAAAGGGGCTAGACTTGTGAATTTCATCATCATCCGTTGGAAGAGTGTCAAATTGTCAATCCAAGTCTTTTGACCTACTACTACTCTATCGGTTCTAAATTGTAAGTTGTCGTGTGTTTTTCTCGATACAGCTTCAATATGCATTTTGAGTTGAATTAAGTAAATATATGAATAGAAATCTGAACCCGAGACTTCCATATTGTATTCCTATTCGGAAATATTCGTATCCGTATTTGAATTTAAATTTTTGGTAAAATGTGATCTCCGAATCTGATTTTATGTGAATTTGATTGTTCCGTCCCTACCTTTATTTATTTAATCATCTATCTAGACAATTTAGATTTGGATCAAAGGGGTACTACTAATCTTTCTATTTATGTAATGAGGTATTAATTTTTTTGATAGGATCAGGTAGTTGGCTTCGTATTAGAACGAGCTACCTAGGCTCACCAGTCACCACTCATCAGGCGAGGGCAGATCGTACAAGAAAAGCCAAATCCATTGGTGTCCCACTTCGAGCTGCGGAACAGTCGCCGCTCCTGCCGTACACACACCGTGCGCCAATTCTCAGTGCCCGCATCACTTTTCGTTCCTGAAAAAAATTTGATTGTGACGTGATTGTGATATTTGGGCTTTCCAAAGGGACCACGTACCATTCTTCCTAGACCAGAGTACTAGACAGGCGCCGGACACTTTTCGTTTCTGGAAAAATTCCATTTCCATCAAAAATTATACGTACTCTATATATATATATATATATATATATATATATATATATATATATATATATATATATATATATATACACACACACACATATGCATATAGATATAAAACTTATATAAACAACGTTTTTCTAGGCCTATTTTTTGTACAACTTTTAAGCATATCTTGTTGTGCGTAAGGCTAGATGAAAAACTCGAAGCTCGTTACCTCGCTCGGCTCCTGGCTGGCTCGGCTTGGCTCGAGCGAAGCCTAGATTTTAGCTCGTTAGCTATAACGAGCCAACTCGAGCCAGCTCGCGAGCCGAATGAGCCTCGCTTCTAGGAAAAAGCAGCAACTTATATTAGTTTTGCATTATTTCATGTCTTGCACTTTACAATTGGTTGTGACTGGTCTATACTCTATAAGTTAGGATTATTATGACTTTATCATTTTGTCTTTAATGGATGTATGGATACTCATGGATATATTATGTATGATATGGAGTATGGACCATGGATGTATGGTGTAATACTATAATATATTAAGCACATATAAATGCTTTGTTCGTTTTAAGGCTGAGCCGAGCTGACCTTCTGGCTCATTAAGATAACGAGCTGAGCCAGCTCGTTATTTTAACGAACCAGAATGAGCCAAGTACTCGTTATCCAGCCCTAGTTGTGCACAAGATCCAAGAGAAGGTTATCATGAGAACTTAGAATAAACCTTTTTTTTCCTTTTGGAAAAGTTCTTTTACAAGTATCCTGTGTATATGAGTTTTTCACTACTCAACTAGTTTTGGAAAGAACATTCTAGTTTTGGAAACTTCAATAACAGCTTATAAACATAAGTTCCTTTTTTTGCTATTCAGTGTCTTCAGAAAACTTGGCACAAAATTAGTTTTCAAAAGTTTAACTGTGGTTTTACGCAAAAAAAATGTAACAACTCAATCAACTAAGTTTTCTAGAAAAACTTATAAGAACATGACTTATTATACACCAAAAAAGTTCTTAAAATAATTTTAGTCTTTTAGATAAACTTTAATTAACTTATTTCAAGATATCTACAAAAGATAGTGGAGCAATTTTTTATTTATAGCATGTAGGACTTAGGAGCAAATACTAAATGGGTAGGATTAGTGTGTAAAAAAGAGTAAAATAATAGAAAGAAAACGCTGTAGAAGAAAATGGGTAGTATGAGTGTGGAAAACAAGAAAAATGGAAAGAAACAAGGAGGAAGAAAAAGGAAAATATTAGGGGTGTGTTTGGTAGGGATTTAGGTTCTTATAGAGTCACTTTAGATTAAGATCTGTCGAGAAACGTTTCAGGCGATGAATTAGAATCACTTTATAAAATCGTTCGGTGAGTAGAGTGGACTCCGATATTCAGAAGAATATATACTTTTTCTTAAGACGTAGAAACAAAAATATGCTTTAAAAAGATTCTGAACTATTTTTGGATAAAGAATAACTTAAGTACTATCCATTTTAACTTATTGCATTAGAAAATAATTAACTGAAAAAATCAAATACAAGTAAGATGCGATGTGAGGAGAATCGGTGCGCACTACTGGAGGCCGCGGCTTTGCCGAGTGTTTTTACACTCGGCAAAGAGTCCTTTGCACTCGGCAAAGGCTTTGCCGAGTGTAGCACTCGGCAAAGTCCGCTCGGCAAAATTTTTCTCGACAAAGGGTCTTTGCCGAGTGCTTTTTATTCAGCACTCGGCAAAATAAAAAAAAAATTTACCGAGTGCTTGGGGCGACACTCAACAAAATATTTTCGGCCGTTGCGGCGCCGGCCGTTAACGGTTATTTTGCCAAATGCCCGACCCAGCACTCGGCAAAGAATTTCTGAATTTTTTTTAAAAAAATACTTTGCCGAGTGACAAAGAATTTTTTTTTTTGAAAAATCTTTGCCGAGTGCCTTGCCCATGGCACTCGGCAAAGACCCTGAGAATTGCAAATTTTTTTTTACATTCCATTGTAACAGACAATATATATATATATATATATATATATATATATATATACATACATCAATCATCACATCTATATCACCAACATGCATTATATATCACAAGCACACGCATATTTAATAAATCCATCGAAAATCCATCACAAATGCACCAAAGTTCAACATCACAAGTTTATTATTACAAGTTCAACATCACAAAGTTCAACATTCCTATCTTTGCGACGGAGATCTGCAGTGTGGCCCCGGACTGCGGTGAAGGACCGACTCATGGCGAAGGGTTGGCCGCGATCACCGCCGGTGACACACAAGATGGCGGGATTGTTTGAACCACTGACG